AGTGGCAGAATCTGGCAGGTTTTGGTGATTGGGTTCATAGTTGAATGAGATGACATGGAGGCTGGTGGCATGTGTATAACAGAGCTATCCTACTTATATACTACTCATTCATTGGGATAAATATAATACTACTTATTGTGTCTGTCTGAGTCTTTATGCTCTTTGTCTTTGAGTGTCATTACTGTCTACAAAAGTGTTGTTGTGCATTATCAGCATTGTCATTGCATCAGAGGACAATGATGAACTCAACCTTGTTGTGGTGACTAAGCCAGTCCCATGGTCCTAAGTGCTGGTGTAGATGCCCTGACTAAGCACAGATAGAGGTTAAAGCAAAAGAAAAGTGGAAAAATCATAACAAGCTTGATATCCCTTTATATTAAGATGGACAATATATACCAAATGCCATCTGTCAAGCACCCTCACTGCATTTCTGCTTATTGCTATGCTATGTGAGGGTGAGTATCTACTTGTATTACTTCATATATCTCACTGACTAATATCCTGTGTTGGGATAGCAATCCTGAGTGAGTATGAGAACATACTCAAAGATACGATGCCAGTCAGTGGCAGCTGACTTGGATCATGATCTGGACTCATTTAGTATCTCATAGAAAGATCTTAAAGTAATACAAAATGTATTTAAGTAGAATATTTCTCTCTCAAGAGACTAATAATAATCCTTTGTATATTACTCTGCTCTCTACTTACAACAGGTTATAGGCCTCAGCCATAACTGAACTTATATCGCTACTTACTTTGCACTCTTTCATACTTTATGTACACATGTAGAACTGCATGGATAGCTAGTCCATATATAGAATTGACTCCCTTAAGGGCCCAAAAAATTATCCGACATAGAAAATCAAGATGATCAATATCCTAACCAATTTAGGACTAATTGATTATGCAGATGGAAGCATTCCAGCTCCAGCAGACATGACACTGGTGGCAGATTGAAAGGAGAGTGATAGGAAGGCTCTTTCAACAATAAGATTGCAGATTTCAGATGACCTGCTGGTATATATTGCTGGTTCAAAGACTTCAGCAGAAGCCTGGAAAGCTCTGAAAGATATGTATGAGTCCAGAAGACCCATGGAAATTGTCCTTGTCAGAAGAAAATTCTTCAGAGCTCAGTATAAAGAAGGAGGAAACATAAAAGAGCATATTAGGATCTTGAGGACCTATTAGGAGGAGGACTTCTCTATTACACTACTTACATCACTCTCAGAATCATGGAATTCATTCATCTCATCAGTGGATGCTGCCAACTTGAAAGATTCTTATAAGTTGATTTCTCAAATTCTCTAGAAGGACATCCAATTAAAGGAAAAGACTTCTGATCAGACTATAACACTTGCAGCATATGGCAAGAAGTTCAATTCAAAAGTCACATGTTATAGATGTGAGAAAACTGATCACATCAGGACAAGTTGCCTAAATGGAAAGAAGAATTCTAGAAAGTCATAGAAAGAGAAGGAAAAGGGCCAGACTCAGGCACATGTTGCCAAATTGGACTCAGAAGAAGAAGACTACATATTTTGTGCAACAGACATCGCACTTATCTCACTCTCAGGAGTATCATGGCTAGAGGACTCTGGCACTACCAGACATATAATCAAAAATAGATTATATTTTTCTGACTATGTTGAAACCCCAGGACATGAAGTCATTGGTGTAGGCAAATCTAAAGGCTTAGAAAGGGGAACTGTCAAGATTAAAATGGTTGAAGGAGAAAAGATCACTCCAGTCACACTAAAGGAGTGTATCCACTGTTCTGATGCACTATTCAATCTTATGTCAATAGGGTGCATTACAGATGCTGGATTTGAACTCAAATTCAAAGAGTCCAGAATGGATATTATCTCACCACATAGCAAGATAATCAGCTATGGAGATAAAATATCAAAGCTGTACAGTCTTGACATCATTGTTTCAGAAATAACCCAGGCCCATGCTATAAAATCAGCCTGATCATGACAAAAGCAGCACAAAACATTAGGCCACTTAAACATAGGATCAGTAAAGAGACTATTTAGGAAGAAAATGGTCAAGGGGATAGACATAGATAAGTCAGCCAAGCCTCAGACAGATTGCATAGCCTGCATAAAAGCCAAACATCATATCAAGCTATTTCCACAGAAAGCTAAAAGAGACTATACTGAAATAAGGGAAATGACATTTTCAGATCTATGGGGGCTGGCCTGAACTCAGGGTATCTATAGTAAAAGATATTATATAAGCTTCACAAATAAAAAATCCTGAAGGACAATGCTATATTTTTTGAAGTCAAAGCAAGGTACAGAAATTCAAAAGAAAATCCAGCAGTATCAAAAATACATCAAAGCCTACAAAGGGAAGAATCTGAAGTTTATGAGGATTGACAATAGAAAGGAATATGTCAATAAAGAGGTAAAGAAATATCTCCAGGATAATGGCATACAGTTGAAATTGACTGCAGCATACTCTCTATCTCAAAATAGAGTTGCTGAGAGAATAAATCAGACTCTTGTGGAGCATGCACATGCCATGCTAGAAAAACATCACTTACCAAAGTTTCTATGGCCTGAGGCAGTGACATATGCCACATATTTGAAGAACTGATCACCAACCAGAGCTATCAAGAATGATCTAACCCCAGAAAAAGTGTTTTAGAGCATGAAACCAGATATTTCAGCACTCCAGGAATTTGGAGTAAAGTGCTGGATGTTGCAACAAGATAACAAGAGGTCAAAACTGAACCCAAAGTCAAGGGAATTTATTTTCACAGGTCTTACAGATAAATCCAGAGTCTGGAGATATTATAACCCTCAAATCAGGCAGATTCAGACCTCAAGAAATGTTATATTCCCTAAAAGCAACACTACAGAGCCTATAGACACTGACTATATAGTCTCCTATCCTTTATCACTCAAGAGAGAGTCAGAGAGCAAAGTTGAGCAGACTCCAGATGGAAATGATGGCATTTCAGATGATTCTGTGGATGCTGGAAATGCCAAACCAAAAGGGAAAATAGCCTCTGATATGTCATTGATCAAATTAAAGTTCCCAATATAGCATGGGAAAATGATCAAGCCACATGATAAACTGGCCTAGATTGCATTAAAGACCCAACCGAGTTACCAGACACTTCATAATCCAAGTGTATGAGCTGTGAAAACATCAGAACAACAGTGTACCTCAGAAGAATCATCTTTGGAAGCCATAAATGTTGCAATAGACTATGCATGCATTGAAGAAACTGCAGACAACCTCAGTGATGAGCCATTAAGCCTTGAAGAAGCTAAAACAAGGCCAGACTGGCATCATTGGAAGAAAGCAATGAATGAAGAATACAATCTATTGACTTTCCTAGGCACATAGCAGCTGAAAGAATTACCCAAAGACAAATCACTTGTAGATTGCAAGTGGACTTATAGATTGAAAAGAGATAGTGATGGGAAAATCACCAGGTACAAGGCCAGACTTGTTGCAAAAGGATTTTCACAGGTACCTGGCATTGATTTCTTCGAGACATATACACCAGTTGTCAGGCTGAACACATTCCACCTACTCATGGCAATTGCTGCTCAAAGAAACTTAATCATTCATGGAATGGATGTTGTTGGAGCTTACTTAAATGGTAAACTCAATGAATCCATTTATATGGCACAGCCATCTGAATATTCAGATGAGAGTGAAAAAGTGGCACACCTCAAATTAATGTTGTACAGACTCAAGCAATCTGGCTGAGTTTGGAATGACAAATTAAATGCTACATTTTTGGGACTTGGATACATCAGATTGATCAGTGATCAATGTGTGTACATCAGACAAATGAGTTCTAGTCCCATAATCATAGCTGTACATGTCAACGACATGACATTACTTGCCCCAGATGATGAAACCATGTCTAAAATGAAAGAAGAGCTTAAGAAGAAGCTAAATGTCACAGACATGGAGGAGATTCAATATATATTGGGCATGAAGATAGATAGAAATTAAGACAAGAGCACTATCACTCTATCCCAGAAGGCATATATTCCCAAAGTACTTGAGCAAATAAGCATGAATGACTGCAAACCAGTCAAAATGCCTATGGACCCAAATGTATGGCTAGAGAAAATTCTGACAGAAGACCCACAAGGTGTTGACACAGCCACCAGGCAATATTACCATACTGGTGTCAGATCACTAATGTATGTGGCCAATGGATCCCAGCCCAACATTGCACATGCTGTCACCAAATTAAGCAAGTATGTGCAGAATCCAGCTGCTGAGTATGTCACAGCCTTGAAGTGAGTTTTCCATTATCTGAAGGGAACTCTAGACTTTGGAATCACATATGGAGGGACTATGGATGAGCTGATACCTTATTCAGACTCAGACTGGAGAGAAGACAGAACAGATAGAAGATCAACATCTGGTTATGTCTGTATCTATGCAAGGGGAGCTGTTACTTGAAGTTCAAAGAAACAGCCCACCATAGCCTTATCCACTATGGAAGCAGAATATATGGCCCTCACATACACAACCCAGGAAGTAATTTGGCTATGAGCACTCTTAACCGAATTAGGATTGCCACCTTACAAAGCAACAACTATTTTTGTTGACAATCAATCAGCAATCAAATTCGCCGAGAACCCTATATTCCATACACGATCGAAGCATATAGACATATGGCACCACTTCGTTCATGAGCGCATGGCTTCAAACAAAGTCAAAGTTCAGCACTGCGCATCAGAAGAGAACTTAGCAGATATATTCACTAAAGGCCTACCAAGACCATTACATGAGTATCTATCTGCAGGTATTCTAGGAACTCGGAATTGAGGGGGAGTGTTGGGATAGCAATCCCGAGCGAGTACGAGAATGTACTCAAAGATATGATGCCAGTCAGTGGCAGCTGACTTGGATCGTGATCTGGACTCATTTAGTATCTCGTAGAAAGATCTCGAAGTAATACAAAATGTATTTAAGTAGAACGTTTCTCTCTCGAGAGGCTAATAATAATCCTCTGTACATTACTCTGCTCTCTACTTACAACATCCTGTAGTCTATGTTATATCTAACAGTGTATTCTAGGTACAGTGATCAACCACCACATTTCCGCTTATCGCAATGCTATGTGAGGTTTACGTTATATCTAACGGTGTATTCTACTAGGTCCTACAAGCGCGCGTCACTTTCTTAGACGCCGTGCTTTCTTCGTGTGGGCAGATATAAGGCGAGCTCTTAATCATGCGGTCCCGTTTGGAGAGATGTTTTATCATACCCTTGCATTGCTCCTGACTTCCTTCAGCGTCGCCTTTTACCTGCGGGTCAAACGACCTATTCAGCATTCCACTATACCATCCATACACTCTCTGTTGAAGCCCCCTAATGTACCTTTGGGTTCACTGTTGCACGCTCGAGCCAGCCCCAACCAGCGCCTTGTCAGAGCGTTCGCCCTCACCAACACTTTCGTCAAGGAAGACGAATTTTCTCATACGCAATTCCGAAAGGGGGCTCAAGGTCTTCTTGCCAAGGCTAACGACTGGCATCGTTTCAAACGAATTGCAGATCACGCAGTCCTGTCGTCTCTCCCGTCTACATCTACTGTCGCTCGTGTTGACACATTCGTACAGGCAGTGACGTTGCGGGTCATCCTAGTAGGTTTGCTGGGCACTGAAGACTCGGAGGACGCCACTTTGCCTTCATCTTCCATCGAGACCGTCTCGTCTTTGATCACAAAGCTATGGGCGCTATCCAAACACCCTGAGCCTATTGATCCTACCCTCCTCCCCCTTCTAAACCAACATCTACGTACACTAGTACCAGATACCAACGCTTATCCCAACCCCCTCGATTTCGTTATACCTGCCTGGGAAACGATGTGGCGAGTCGTCGCCACTACGTTTGCACATGTTTACAAGAATGATCGATTTAGACGCACGCTTGAGGAGCTACATGCGAACCCCAGTATACCCCAGTTCCGCTTGCATGACCGTGACGCAAGTGCGGAGGATATCATCATCGAAGCGATGCGACTACATCCCCCATCCAAACACATCTCACGTTTGATTTCGTTTCTGCCCTCATTCTTACCACGCTGGCGCTCCTTTGAGACGCTTCACGTCGCGGACATTTTGGCAGCGCATTTCTCTCCGGCCATTTGGGGACCTTCTGTTGAGACGTTTGATCCTTCCCGCCATACAACGCGTACGCCTAAGCGGGAAGAAGGGTTCCTGGCCTTTGGCTATGGACGGTTGCAGTGCGTGGCAAAGAATTGGGCGCCGATGGCTGCTGCCACTATTCTTTCATCCATCCTTGCTGGCATTGATGGGAGTTACAGGGTGGAAGAAGGGGGAAGTATCGGAGGACGAGATGGGTGGGAAGGATGGGAGATCGGGGAGCTGAACACCGTTCCTTGCTATGATAGCTAAATCAAGTTTCAATTGTTTGTTGTTGTACTCAAGCTTTTCTATATTATCTTAGGAACTTGGCCCCTGGCTTCGCTGGTTAATTATTTGTAACCCCATGTACCATCCTTTTCGAAATACTAAATGAATAAAACGAACTTTGCAACCTCTGGTGCATTGGAGCCCTATAATTTGTCTGTATCATCTGCAGAGTGGGAGAAAAGAAATCATAATAGTAGCATCAGCTGGCTTGACGTTCAATCACTAAGGCAGAGATCAAAAGGGATAAAATCCGAGTTTTTAGAGGCCGCCCGAACCGGGGTCAGGGATAAAATCTATACCATTTCTACAGGTTTTTCGAGGCTCACATCAGTTCCCTATCTCGCTTTCCTTCTCACCCATCTCACGCGATCTGCTATCGGTTCCCATTTCGATATCCTGTTTATCCTCTTCTCGTATTTCTTTTGCTGGTTCCACAACATTCTTTCTCGCCTCCCAGCCTCCTTGGTACCCAAACCATGTCTTGTTTCCGCAGTGTGGCCCACGCAACATAAGTATAAAAAGCATCCAGCCGCAGAATGCCATCGAAAGAGCACCACCCGCACGCCACCCGTACTGCACAAACACTTTTGTGCCAACGGATGAACCCATCACCTGACCAATGAATAACTTGGAAGGATAAGAATATGCACGTTCTGGGATGCAGAGGTGTACATACAGAAAGAATATACACGGCGTTGAGACGCGCACGAGCCTCAGGATTAATGCTACGGACATGAATTGGTAAGTTAATGATAAACGGAAACCATACGTTAAACACGGACCTGTAAATCCGCGTCGCAAGAGAAACTTCCAGCATTTGCCGAAAAGTATCGATCCCGATGGTAGTGATGATAACAGCACCGATGGAAATGCCACCAGCGCCCGTTTGTACGGCTTGAGAGCACAGCATCATGAAAATGCCAATCAGAGAAGCGTACCATGGGACCAAATGATCGATAGCTCTGCCGAGTATCGGTCCCATTGCCACAGCAAACATGCCTATAAGCCCAAAGAGCCCTATCACCAAACTGAATAATAGATTGAACATCTGCCTAGGATAGAGAGATAGAACTTACGTGGAATAATTATACGGATCCCCACCGAGGAGAAAGGTAAGCGTAACCCAGAAATTGGTGAACGATGCACTCGACCCGATGCTGATGAGACACGCTTGGATGAGGAGCGGCTCTGTCACAGCGAACTTGGCCATTGTCTGAAGGATATGCCAGTATGTCAAATGAGCGTTCTTCGCGGGAAAGTCCGGTACGACGAAGTAGCTTCCGAGGACAAGGAAGTACTGAAGTCCTATGGCGAGGTAGTAAACGACGCGCCATGAGGTGAACTCTCCTATGACTCCTGAGAGAACTCGTGCGAGGAGGATACCGAGGAGCAGTCCGGCAAGAACGATGGATAGAGCGGAGGCGCGACGTTGTGGCGGTGCAAGGTCAACTGCGAGGGGCATTAAGACTTGGGGGACGACGGTCACGGCACCGACGAGGAAGGACAGTGCCTCGAAGACGGCGAGGCTGGATGTTACTGATAAACCGATGGTAAGAGACGCGGAGACCGTTATGAGTATTAGGACAAGTTGTCGGCGGCGGACCAAATCACCGAGAGGTGTTATTAAGATAAGCCCAGTAGCATATCTGTGATCGACCGTAGGTTCATCTAGCTTCATGAGAAAAAAAATTAAATGTCCCACCCTGCTTGTAAGAGCGTCGGTATCCTATAGTGTTACAGGTTTTAGGTCCGGAGACAGAAACGTTGTAGGCATACAGCTCACCTAGAGACTTCCTCGTAAGTAACATCAAAATCTTTCGATAATTCGACTGCATGTGACGGTTAGTGAGACCATCGTCGGTTAAAAATGAAGCTTACTGAGCAACGGTTGGCAGTAGTATAGGTTCGCAACCGCTGATAGAGGTATTCCAATAAGTCAGTACAAAAATCCAAGGCATTGGCAGTTCCCGTTTTGAGAGCTGACATACTGAACGTGCTTATGGCCCCGAATGCGATATTCATAGCCAGTGAAAAATTAAAAGGTTTTCCTGGGTCATATCGCAAACTACGAGGGACAGGTATTATTCCAAAGTCTTTTGCGTTTGTAAGCGTGACCGTATCATTGACCTAATACATTGTCAGTTTGGTGCCAATCCATACAGCCGGGGAACCTAAGCACGTACACCACCTCGAGCTTCTTGTTCCTTTATGTTCGCCATCTATATTCTGCGTGCAATCTTGTGGTGGTAAACTGTAAGAATAAGTCTCATGATGCTACCGGTCCGAGGCTGATAGTTATTCCGCTTATTCCGACATTACCTGTCACTCTGCTCGCGAGCAATTGGCACCGATATGTCATAATACTTTACGCTGAGCACGCAAGAGTGTATCAACGGAATTTCAAGGCAAAAAGGAAAGACGTACTCAACGTTGAATGGGATCACAAAACAGGTAATGCTGTTGCCATTCATGTATACGTCGCCAAGCGATGCCAAACATGCCTGACGACTCTCCTCCGCCAACATCAGAAAAATGGATTTCTATCTCTCTTGTCAGTGACAAAGAAAAATAAATTGTCACTATTTTAACCAGCCAAATAGGTTGCAGGAACAGTGCTCACCCTCGCCATTCCATGGACACTGCTATCCCTGCGGAAAAGAATGCGTTCTAGTGCTCTGGCAAAGGCTCCTCCGCGTAGAACAGGAACTGCTACATTCAAGATCCAACCAATAACGGAGGCCAAGCCGGTAGTCTCTCCTGCGTCTGGGTGGCGTCTTTCTCCCAAAGAAAAGGATGTACCGGTCGACGGTGCTCAGCGAGCACTCTACACTGTAGGAGCCTTCGGAATATCCACGGCTCTCGTTGGTATTGGCGCGCTGGGTACTGTGTGGAGCGCTCAGATTCTGCTGGGTGTTGATACGGTACGAATATCCCTTCACCAGCACCGTTTTTAATGGCGTATCCAGGTGGATGAGTTTTCTACAATGATGCAAACTTTCGTAGCTACAAAGCTAGCCCCGCTGTCGTCCCGCATCCACAGCTTCCATAAACCTGAACTCGACGACGGTGTGCCTGCGGACCCGCAGTGGAAATGGGATGATGCTGAGAAGCGGTTACAGGAAATCTATGACAAGCAGGGAGGTTTTGCTTGGGCAGAGGCTGCTCTTCGGGAGGCCGAGATTGAAGCCAAACTCGAAAGGGAAAAACGGAGGGAAATGCAGGAGAAGGCCAGTCGGCAGTAGCATGTCGATGTAAGAGGCATTTCGTGGTCGTATACAAGTCCAAAATTCAGATTGAGTACCTCAATCGTCGCGACTAGAGCGCTGTTGATTAATTCTCGGCGTAAAGGAAATGAAAGTCTGGTATGTACAGGTAGTAGTTTTAAAAGTCCATTCCAAATGTCCCGGTTGAAAGTAGTAGATGGCTGTATGTAATGCAGGTCCTCAACGTGCCTTGCTAATTCTACGAGACGCCCTTTTCTCCGCTTCAAGGCATTTTTGGCTAGCCGATTCTATCGCCTGCATCCACACTGTAAAAAAAGGAGGTCAGGTGGCGGTAGTTTGTCATATGAACACAAACACACATTGGCATTCGCGAACTGATGACGCTCGAAGTCCAACTGCTTCCCCGCCTCGCGGATATGGCAATGTGATTTGGAAACACAAATCATCTAAAAAAAATTATGAGCATGCGTCTCAGCATAAGAAGAGTAGTCACCGTTTCCATCTTTCAGGCGCACTTCCGATAGAGAGATAGGCTACATTCGACGGTTAGATATCATCCAGGGAGTCACATCCGGGCACTGACCATCCGATACAAGTTTTTTGCCGTCGCATCAGTCAATACCAATGTATCACTACACAGAAACGCATGCAACCTCCGCCCGCTTTTGGCTTTACACAGGATCCCGTCCTTTAATAGTATTCGAGCACCCATATAGCGAGTGGGGGCAGTCAAATCTAGCCGACTACTCACAATCGTCAATGACCAAAAAGGGAGGAAGAGAAAATGATTTTACCCTTGGCCAATCCACAAGTGCTGGGAAATCTCTTTAAGCACTTCACGGCCCTCCTGCTCACGAATAGTCTCATTGATGTGAGCTAGAATCCTTTCCGCAGCCCTTAAAGATTCGACGATTGCCGTTTGCTCATCTCCACCAGGCTCCGTGTAACGGAGGATCTACAGGGTTATATAATTTGCTACATCTTATAGGCAAAAGAAATAAAACCTACTTGCTTAACAAGAAGCGGATACCGTGTTATCCGTTGCATGGGTATGAGCAAATAGCTCGACAGGTCGAGGTTGCGAGCTGCAGGATCGTCTCGAAGCCGCTATGAATACACTCAGTCTCACTATACGCGACGTTTAAACGACCAGTCCCCACCTGCAACTGCGAAGCCAGGTCAGGCCTTGAACCGCGCAATGACTGCAACACTTTGATGGCATTCGATTGATTGACGCAGTATTCCTAAGAGCAGATCTTAGGGTGTTCATAATAGGACAATATCGAAACCCCGCCTACCATGTACACAGCCATCTTCGACATGTAACTCTGCAAAACGTCTCCTATTTTATCGATGTACAACCGACAATCTTTCTGACGCTCCTCCAGAGCACTCATGAATATCTAAGAGAAGATCAGTCTTTTCTTAATCAGGAAGAATGGATGGCTCAAGACCGACCGTGTTGATTATCAAAATGTCTTCCACGTTTGCAAAAACTACCGTTATTGCTTTCATATCCAGAAGCGATAACATATTTGAGTAGAAGTGCTGCGAAGAGGAGTTTTGGTTTCAGCAGCCGTTGATCGTACACTCAAATACTCGTACCTCGACGACGAGTTGCAGATCATGTACATATGCAGTCTCTGTCGCAATGAGCTCGAATATAGCCTTTGAAAACACCGTAAGCGCAAGACAGAATGAATACAATAATGTCCAACTCACCTCTTGTCGGCGTCGTTCTCTCGATGGAATCCCCTCAAGTGCGGATTTATCAACGAGACTGGCCCATGACTGCAAACGAAACCGTGAATCAAAACGCAGCCAGGCCAGGAAACCTCAGAGAAGATACGCACACTTCCAAACGCCGGACTAGCAGACCTGCTGATTTCACTGTCGGGGGAGTTGAGTATCGGAGCTGATATCACCAAACGCCTTTCCGCCTCCACAGATGTCTTACGTCCCAAAAAGTGCATGATGCTGGAGTATCGACTCTCCCCTTCTCTCGAGGGTATCTGCGAGATGGTGGAGAGCGTGGGCGAACTCGGAGGAGGACCTGAATCTACGGAAGCTACCGACATCCTATTAGCATTAGCGTGAGTGTCCCGAAATGTCTCGTATCTGTCGAACGCATCATTGAGATGCGCCGACGTCTCTGATTCGGTAGGTGGGACGGGAGGAAGGGGAAGATCCTTCAGCGAAGAGATCGACGTGCCAACAGACGAACGTTCAGGAGCAAGAGGTGGTGTCCTACGTTTTCTAGACTTTGGTAGACGAGGAGGTCTCGGAGGAGGTTTCACATCCTGCTTGACAATGAGACCAGCGGCTTCAAGGACCAACTGTCGTTCGTGTTCACGGGCTTCGCGTTCATTCTTGGTTTCAGGATAGGTATCCTCCTTGTCACTTTCGTCGAACGACAAGTAGCTGGAGGTATCGGTATCGATATCGGCGTCAGTGTTGTTGCCACTCGTATCCGTGCCAAGATCATCGGCAGAATCTAGTTTTGGCTGACTGACTTTCACTTCAACTGGGCTTTGAACGGCCGCAATGTCGGAGACCGGTGCCACCAGAGTACGATCAGGATCTATATTGAATTCCATTCCGAAGCAAGTTATAATTGACGAGTACATGTAAGAAGAAACAAAAAAGGAGATTCAGCCTGTTTGCCAAGGGTAAACAGAAGAGCTGGGGGAGGGGGATAAATTTACTGACCATCAGCAACCTCTAGGTAATCAGCGGGTGCGAGGAACACCGTGCCGTCTTGTTCCACCTTCCACCATACGTCTTCACTGTCATCGACAACAATAACTGCGTCTCCTTCAGAAAAGGATAGCTCATCGGAGCCATTGCCTGTATACGTGTATAAAGCTTTGGCATTGACTGAAAGAACACGTCAAATACATGCGGGGGTAATCAGCGAAACGACTCACCAGACTTCGTCGGCTCGACGTAGGTTCGAGGGAACAGACCTGACTTCCCAGTGGCCACGGCGGTGCCGAACCACCAGTCACCATTAGTTTTTGAAGGATTAGCCTTCAATATAATATTTTCGTCGAAACCTGAAAAGATAATAAGACTCAAATATCTGCCGTTTGTGGAATGAATTCACTTAAATCATCTGGGCCATCAGCAACGTATGCATACAGTGTTCGAACACGAAGCTCTGGAATGGCGTAAGTCAAGAATAATACATCCCAAATGAACACGAAGTCAAACCCTGGGACCTGTCAATATCTGCCAGCGGATCATCTACTTGGATAATAGGCACGGGAGTGGGAGGTGCCTGTTCTGCCTCATCTTCTTCGCGTGTCGAAGGAAGGGGTTCGATCGGGTTTCCTGCCTCAGTCGCAAGGTCGGCATACCAATCGACGGACTGCCGGTTAGACTGACTCGATAGCACCTCAGAATCCATAGGAGTAGACCTAGGTATAGCGACAGGAGGGAGACTCTCAGTACGAGGCGGAGACGGGGCTCGTACAGCTGTGTTGATGTGTAAAGGGGGAGCAGAATCACCGATGACTTTACCAGCAACTGGTGGTCCACTCTTGTCCACTGTCGTCGTCGCTCGAAGTTTCATTCCACCTTGGATGGAGCGCATGAGGGCGCTGACATCACTTGGACTAGAGGAAGTAGCAGCAGGCACAGGAGGAGGAGCTGCTGGCGCAGCTGGTGGTGCCGGGGGAGGCGGTGGACCTGGAGGTGGAGGTGGAGGTGGAGATGTAACAACGCCTCTATCAGGAGCCGGAGATGACGGAGACGATGCTGGACCTGAACCAGGGCTAGGCGCCGTCGATTGTGGCCTAGGAAGCAAGCTTCCGAACAATTTAGTGGCGATATCGTTCCTGGCGCTGCGGGACTTGGTAAATTCGTCATCACTACTGTCGTCGTCGCTATCCGAGTGCTCCTTGATGACGTCCCAGTCATCGCCAATAGAAGAAGTACTTGGGGGAGCAGTATTATAAGGTGTTTTGACTGGGGCCGGACCAGGACTTCTGGGAGAGCGGACTGCAGGCGGCGGCGTCGGGACCGCCACTGGAGGACTGATAGGAGTGGGAGGCTGGCCCCAAGGGTTGCTACCAGCTGCTGTCGTCACCGTGGGGGTGGCTACAGCGGCACCTCCTCCTTTGATGAGACGACTGAAAGGATTAGTATCGGGCTTTTCAGCAGGAGGAGTTGGCACTGCAGGAGTAGAAGGAACAGAGGGGGCCACGACAGGCGGCAAAACAACGGGAGGAGCAGGCACAGAAGGAGCAGGAGGCGGTATCTTGACGACTGGTGACGGTGCAGGTTTACTCTTGAAGGCTTGAAGTTTCGCTTGATATCTCTCCTCTTCCAGTCGGGCTTCTTCCTCCTGCTGCTCAAGCTGTCTCAGTCTCGCAGCACGCGCCTCGCGCTGCTTCTTGATGGCCTCTTCGCGAGCACGGAATGCTTCCTCTTCTGGATCAACCTCAGGTGCTGCAGGCGGGGGAGGCGGTACGGGGACAGGGGGCACAATTACTGGAGCAGACGGACGAGCAGCTGGAGCTCGTGGTGGAGGCGGGGCTGGGGCACTACCTCTGGGTTTAGGTGCCGGTGGGGGTGCTTTAGCACGCGTAGGTGGCGGGGGAGGAGCCTTGGCGGCGGGAGGAGCGACAACAGGAGGCGCAGAAGCTTCTTCCTTCAATACCTTTTCGCGCTCAAGACGCTCCCTACGCAACTTTTCTCTTTCTTCCGCTTCCTTCTCCGCAGCTCGGGCCTTCTCTTCGGCTTCCTTCTTCTCTTGTTGTAGTCGGTCTTCCACAGTGGTATCAATCGCAGCAAGAGACGGAGTTGCAACAAGACCTAAAGCTGCCTTACGCGCTTCGATACGACGTTGAGCCTCAGCACGAGCGAAGGCTTGGCGCTCCTCCGCAGTCATGTTCTTCTTCGCTGGAGCAGGCGATGGTGACGGTCTGGCGGCCAGGGGAGGGCTGGTGACCGTCACAGACGGCGTAGCAGGAGAAGGAGCACGAGGAGCGGCAGGAGTGCGAGGGCGATCATACTCCCTATCCCTTCTGTCGCGAGGCGAGGGTGTCCGACGCCGATAATCATCTTCGTAATCACGCCTATACGAGCCACGGGAGTACGGACGATCACGGTCATCGTCATACCTCCGAGGCGAGGAATACGAATCATCTTTATCGTCGTATCGGCCAAAGGTGCGATTCGCATCGTCCCGATCCCGCGCCCATTGTCGTTTCTCTCTCTCCTTACGCTCGTCCCTTGCCTTGATCTTCCTTTCGACTTCCGGTACTCTCTCATGCATTAACGATAACAATTCCCTTTCCAGTCTTCTCCTTTCTTCATCTTTAGCAGCGGACCTTGGTCCGCGTGAAACGTAATCGAGATCATCGCCTACCCTCTTAACACGATATTTTAGATCCTCCATTTCCCTGTCCAGAGCCTCATCTTCTGCCGTCCTGGCCGAATCAGCTTCTGCAGCACGATCTAGCATCTGTGCTGTGTTTGCGAGCATGTTCTTTACATCCGCAAGGTCAGCCGATGGACCAGTGTCATTTCGTGATCTAACGTTATCACGATTTATGTGACGACTGCGTGGGTGATAAACGTCACCCGGAGACTCGTTGTCTGAATGTCTGTAGATTGTTGCGTCTCTACCAGAATCAAGGGCAGAAGACCCGGTAAACGAGCGGTCCTTCAGCCGAGATACAGGCGAGTCAATGTTGGAAGGAGACCGTGACCGAGTCTCACTTTTGAGCACTCCCTTGAGGAAATCGACAGAACTATCGAGATCACGATGGGAGGGCGGGACAAGTTCACGAGGAAGTTCTTCAGGTATTTCGTTCCCATTTAGCCCTACGTCAAGTAGATCAGTAACACGACTGCGGCAATGACGATTGCAGACGTACTTCGATAGATGAGACCCATCGCAACATGAAATTCTGCTTTATTCAGCTTTCCACGATCGTCAACATCGGCCAGGGTCCTGAATACATACATAAGTCCGGAATAGCGTCACAGCAATATTCACTCACCATATTCGGGCAAGATCATCCTTCGAAAGCCCGCTCTGCCCAAATACATCCAACGCGGTCTGTCCACTAATGAAGCCATCACTATGCGTATCCCAAGCCCGGAAGATATTGTCGTAATTCTTCTTTTCTTGCTTTGACAGCGCCCACGGGACTCGGGGGGCGGCGGTGCCTTTGACCTCTTGATTGTGCTGCTGGAACGACTGCTGCAAGGATAGACCTCCTGGAAGTAGCTGTGACGGTAGCTGAGGGGCACCACCGGCGCTATACGGAGAAGCTGCATTCACTGGCAAGAACGTAGTAGACATCATTTGCAAGCGGGGATCCATGTATCCTGTGACCTGCGGTACTAGTGGACGCGCAGCGGGGAAGCTGGTCTGCTGGGGTTGGATGGCAGACAAGCCAGGTCCTCCTAGTCCAGGCGATGGACTCAGGAAGCCACTAGTTGGCTGCTGCTGTGGCTGGAGAAAGCTGCTCTGATTCTGCTGATACTGTGCGGGTATGGGCGGAACGGGTGGTGGTGGTGGAGCTGGTCGATGAGCTGGCGATAAATTGCTTCCTGGCCCAGGAAAACCTGTCGGCTGAGCCTGTAAAAGACCATTGCCAGCAAAGCCCGTCTGCTGGGGCTGCATACCAGAATATCCCGTCCTCTGTGGCAGCAAGCTGCCTCCTTGTAGTCCATACCCTGGCTGGAACTGAGACGGCGGTTGCTGGAACTGCGGGTTTTGCTGAAACTGCTGTAGGTTAGGCTGCTGGAATTGCGGGTTCTGCTGGAACTGAGGATTTGGAGGCTGATATCCAGTCTGCATGGGATACTGGAATCCCGGCTGACCTTGGCCCCATTGCGCCATTGCGGAGGAAGGGAAAGGTGAAGACACAAAGTGCACAGCGCGCGGCGGTGTTTGTCACGTTCCGTGACACGGTCACCCAATTTCCAAAAATCTGACTTCTTCCATTTCTGCGCTTCATCGACGGCTGTATCACATATGGCTCGCTAAATTTCTTTAGATATGCATCTTGAAGTTTTTTTTTGTGAACCGTCGGCTTCAATCTCTCATAAAATGGCTTACAGTGTACCACGTCATTTTCCATTGCTTGATTGAAATAAACTCGGGACCGCAGCCAGACCATCAAAATGATTGGCGATTTTCTTTTCTTAGAAAGGCTTCAACTTTCGGCGCCTGCAACATCTGCAACAACCTATGGTCATGCATACGCTGGAGTGCTCTATCTGCGCCCCTGGTTTGACTGAAGTCTGGAATTGCAACGCCTTTTCTTAGTAACATGGTCACTGAACTCACCTTGCTCTGCAGGATATCAATCTCCTCTTTTTATCTGTGGGCTTTACAAAATGACGCAGCTGCGTGGATACGCACTGGCTCTACCTGAGATGTATGTATCTTTAGTGCCTCGCCCTCTGCGCAACAGTATCGATTCACCAGCAGGGCAACATATACCTTTCCTGGTCTTCTCAGTTTCTACAAAGCGTGCGACGGACATTGCCATCAGCTGCGACCAAAGGTTGATACGAAGGGTTTTATTCCGTGTCTTTCGGGCCTAGTCTTTCTGGAATCCACCGGCGTTAAGCATTGCCAATATTGGACCACAAGATTCTAAATACTCACCTTCTCTATACCTATAGCACAAAGACTTTCATACAGCTGCCAGTATTTCCATGAAATGCTTATTCCCACACAGACGGGAGCCGCAATCGGCGAGACGATAGGAAAGCATTTCGTACTAAAAATGTAGTACATTTCCTGAGGCATCCGGGACATGCGGTTCTAGCGCATCAAACTAGCCTTTGGAAAGACATTTTGTAAAAATCCCGGGCTAACAAATTGAATATTTGTACTGTTTTACCATGTTCTCCGAGGATCATTTGTTTTCTACGTGATTTTGAATTTCCCTTTTGATCGGATTCGGAAATAGGATCGGAAAACTAAGAACCGGACAGCCGGTCTCGACAATTGTAGGCAGGCACTCCGAGTCGTTGCGGCTTATAAGACGTACGTCGCATCCTCATTTTCTTCCCGTCACCATGTCCTCTCCAGGCAAGTATCTGTCATTCCAGACGCGTTTCTCGAAATACTAATCAACCTCAGACTTATCCCTGACTTCCCTGTTCAATGTAAAGGGCAAGATTGGTGCGTCACCGCTGGCGGACTCCCTCCAATTCTGTCGTCCTCAAGACAAATCACAGTGCTGGTAACTGGCGGAGGATCAGGTATAGGGAAGATGATCGCCGCCGGGTTCGCTCAGAACGGAGCTAAAGTGTACATCGCTGCCAGGAAGGAGTCTCAGTTGAAGGAGGTAAATCCACGCGCTGCAACATACCCGGGCCAGCAACACGCGAGCTGACTTAACCGAAGGCCGTAGCTGATCTCCAAAAAACAGCCCCCGAAAAGGTTTTGTACATCGTCGGTAACGTTGCGGTGCGTAGTAATCCGCCATTTGTACCCTTTACTGAAGCAATGCAGAGCAAGGCAGGATGCGACGCCATCATAGCCGAATTCAAGAAACACGAGAACAAACTGCACGTTCTGGTCAACAACTCCGGCATCACCTGGGGAGGACCATACGACGACTTCCCCGAGGAGAAAGGGTGGGATAACGTCTTCAACGTGAACGTCAAGAGTATCTTCTACAGTGCGTACCTCCTTCCTCCTTCCGGAAGTCTACACGACTCTTAACATTTCGAACTCAATTTCAGTGACGGCAGGGTGAGTCCTGAGATTCACATTCGACACGAATCTCATTGCATTGTAGCCTTACGGAACTCCTTGCCAAAGACTCGGACGCTTACGACCCCGGTCGTGTCATCAACATCTCTTCGACAGCGTCTGTGGAGCCGGAAAGTGAAGGTGCTTTGAGCAGCGCCGGAAACGGCACATGGAGTTGTAAGTGAACGTGAGCACCCCGTTTCCGTCATCGAGCTAACGCTAGGCAGATCAGCCTAGTAAAGCCGCGGGTGAGTGACCTACCTCACCTCATACGCGCCGCCTAACATTCCTCGCAGTGAATCAGCTGACCTCATCGTTAGCCGTAAAACTGGGTCCCCGTCATGTCACGTAAGACTTGCGTTCATTCTGGGGGGGTGGTCCCTTTCGCTGACGCTTGAAGCTCCCAGGGTAAACGCCATACTGCCGGGGTATTTCCCCTTCCGTGTATCTCTCCATTTTCGTCCTAATCTCTCTCTCTCTCGTAGACTGTTCCCAAGTAAAATGACAGCCTGGGGCTTCAAAACTGTAGGCGACGAAATCTTTACCGCTAACCAACCGACGGGTATGTCTTGTACTTGTCAAGTCTGTGGTTTATTCGCTCATCGTGCCCTACTAGGACGATATGGTACACCTCAAGATATGGCTGGCCTGGCGCTTTTCCTTGCTTCGCCAGGTTCATCACACATTACAGGAACGCATACACTCCTTGATGGCGGGTCGAGGTTCGTCGCGCACAGAATAGCTCCTCAAGTCAAGCTATGACTGTTGCGACGCTTGGTGATGTATATAGAATGCAATGGATACAAGAGTACCGTATCGGGAGTCGAGATGTGCTACAGTTGTCATGATTGATCTTGTCGATATAGTTGCTACATGTAAATTAATATGCTTTGAATCCTTGTATGCTATAATTACAGAGTCGAGAACAAACATTAATCTGTTAACCGACGGTCTTCAAGCTCGTTCAATGCCTTTGTGACCTCACCTGGCGTTCCATGTGCGGCTGCTGGCCTCGTACTTCCCCTCGCCTATCACATATTATAGGAACGCACACACTTCTTGATGCGGTGTGACACGCAAAGCATAGCCCCTCAAGTGAAGCTATCACTAATTTTCGTGATGTCGAGGAAGCTTGGTGCTGCACACTATATTATTACATTGTGGATACAATTATTACATGAAAATTAATCCGCTTTGAATCTTTGCGAGTTACAGTTCCACGATGCCAAAGTCCCAGAAAACCAATCAAAAAGAAAGGATTAAAAAAAACCCTTCCATTACCGCCGATCTTTAGAAGGCGAGCTTTCTCCACGTTCGGAAACCTCGCCGCCGACACTGAGACCATTCAACACCAAGGTGAGGTCACCCAGGACCCCATTAATACCGTTAGCGTTCCGTGAGCCCGATACACTGTGGCCAGCCTTCCACTTGCTACCCATGCATTTACCCATCTGCTCCAAAATAGAATTGTACATCGTCCTGTTGAACCCGACGCACTGCAACCCAATACATGCAACTTTGAGAGCACCAGCGGCGTATAGTTGAGACGTCTCGTAGACGTTCTGCGGCGAGATGTTCTTGCGGCCGGCAATCGTTTCCTTGATGATAGCTTGTACTGTCTGCAGAAGAAATGAATCAGAAAGGACATTTGTATCAGTGTGGAAGGGGACGTACTCCCTTGGATAATGCTTCCCATTCTTTCGTTGTGAGGTCATCGAGTCGAAATGCTTTGTATACACCGGCGTAGTACCATGTACCATCCTTGTTGAAGAAGCACTCTACGCCAAAGGATGAGATAATGAATACAGCGACGTAAGTTGAACTCACCAGTAGGTTTGTTCATCCTCGCAAGAACATCAACTGATGACCACCGATGCGCAGTACCTATCCGAGGATTCGTATTACATTTGAAAGCTGGAGTCAAGAAATAGCCATGTTCCTCGCGTTCCGGACACCATGTAGTGGTGAGTTGTTGCAAAAGGCGGTAGTCTGTTAACCTATTGCGTGTTTCAGGAAGATAAAATGGGCATATATGGCAACGACAACGCACGAACTGCGCAAAGCCTACAAACGGGGCTCAGCCACTGATCCACGTCCATTAAAAAAACACGAACCCCAGATGTGTTACCGAGAAATTCGTGCAGGGACAAATTTTGAGGCAAAAGAATCGGTTTCAGCGTATCATCTGGTGGATCTTGGGGGAGAGGCATTGCAGCGAGGAGCTTGTTTCTCTGTTCGATGGTCTCCTCTGCTTCAACGGTCTGTGGAACGGTGTGTGTCATCTGCAATACCGATAAGCATCTGATGACAAGGGGAATAACACCGAACTGACCTTGTAATCAAAGTCATTATCGATAGGTCTAATATTGTGACTTTCGGAGGATATCGATGTTTGCAATGAACATTGTAAGGCTATGGGAGGCGTATCGTGCGCAATTCGGAGAGGAATCATTCCGGAAATTTGATTGCCCGACTGTTCCTTAGTCTGTGGAATCCATCAGCCCTATTACGTGTCAAGATAAGAAGATGACGAACCTTACAAGCGCCGTCATCGTACCGAGGAGGAGGCTCAGTAGAAACGGCCGTCTGTGCACTCTGTTTCTTTATTACGCGTATCTCTTCTCTCATCATCTTGACAAGACTGTCGAGGGCACTCTCCTTCTTCGGCAGGTTTACCTCCGTAACGCCTATGTTTCGGAGAGCATAAGACGTGCATTCTTTGAAGAAATCGGGGCTGACGCTGTCTTGAAGGTGATCTATAATGGCAGCTTTCTGTCCAAGAGACGTATAGGCCTCTGACAATCGTTGTACTGCCATGTCGCGAGCTTTCACGGCTTGCTTAACCTTCATCCGTTCTGTCGATAATTCGATGACCATGTCGACAACCTTGAAGGGATCCTGAAGATACGGTAAACTCGAAGACGAGTTGGCAAAATAACGCGCATATATGCTACTTACCGCTGCCTTTAAAATCTCCAATTCCTGTCTAGCCTGAGCCAGTTCATTGGCAAGCGTACCATCGGAGGCCATCATCAAGAATCTGAGCCAAAAGATTAGAAATCGGAGAAGAAGATAAAATCGTAGGCGGGCTGCAGTTACTTATATGTTTGCATGCAAAAGAAAATGAGAAGTGAGAAGAAACCAAGGAAAGACCGTTGTGGGAAAGTCGGGAATCGGGAATCGGGAGTCGGGACGCTTCCTGTAAATTTTTGGGGCTCCAGAAGGCAAACTTTTTGTCTGAAATAAGTATATTTTAGGCCTCGAGTACGACAGCTCAGTCAAGGGTAGAATTTTCAAAGAACGAAGGCCAGCAAAAAAATTTCGCAACGGATGGCGACTGACTGATATCTCCACCAAACGTCGACGAGTACAAGTCACAGCTCATCTCTCTTGGATCTCTGCCTCAGCGACTGAACATCAACTCGATGAACACCCTGAGCGGCCTTTAATGACGCCAACACTTCCTCGCCCCGCTGTGCCCATTCCTGCTTCGGCACACTCAGCAACTGCACGTCATCCAGCGAGCCTACTTGACCCACAAGAGTGATCAAAGGATGAATGGTCGCGAGAGCTTCCGGAGATTGGTTGTAAGGAGAATTAGGCGCGAGAGTGACCGTCAGATACGTGTATGTTTCGTAGTTCTGTTCCATGGCGGTAGGAGCAGAGAAGCTGCATCCATGCCGCATCCGTCGCTTAATAATAGGGCAATTGCCGAGGATGGTTCTGCCGAATATCGATCGATGCTTAGTTCGGCACGACCATCATGTCTTCATCCATTAGTACCATCCCGCTAGCATCTCAAGTCGGCGGACATGCTGGAGTTCTCACAAGTGAAGATGGATCGCTCCTGATTAAACCTGCTTCACCACCAGAACATCAGTTCTACCAATCCCTCAATACCAATCCCGCATTTGATGCGCTCCGACCGTTCGTCCCAAAGTTTCTTGGCACCCTCAAACTCGAAGGTCAGGTCGACGAAACAAACCAGGGTTTGGATCCAGGAAGTGGAATTGCCGTAAAGCAGCTCCCCGAAGCGCACCAGAAAGATGAGTGGTCATCAATGTCTCACGGTCATGTATATTTATCGTTCTTTACTTTGAATACAGTTCCTTGTCCTAGAGAACTTGTTGCATCATTTCATTAGACCAAATATCCTAGACATCAAGCTCGGGACTGTATTGTATGATGAAGACTCGTCAGCCGAGAAAGTTGCTAGGATGGAGAAGACTGCTAGAAATACGACATCCTTGGAGACAGGCGTGCGACTAACGGGTTTCCAAGTCAGTTCTTTATTCTTCACCAAAAAGTCTTCCCCTCATTGGATCCCCTCAGGTATATGACAACGCTACCAATGAAGCCGTTAACACGCCCAAATCCTATGGTAAATCCATCAAGCCGTCCGATCTCTCTGAGGGCATCGCACGTTTCTTCCCCGCTCTCTCTGTCTACAACACACAAGGTCTACCCCCAAAGCTTCTCGTACCCGTGCTCAAAGGGCTTCGTGAGGACATCGCAGAGATACGTGAGGCGTTTGCTAGTGTCGATTTGAGGATGGTCGGCGGTAGCCTGCTCATTGTTTACGAGGGTGATTTGGCCAAGGCAGAGGACGGGGCGAAATGGATGTTGGAGGAAGAAGATGAGGAAGGTGAAGACGATGACGACGATGACGATGAGAAGCTCAAGCGAGGACCTCCATATACCGTCAAATTGATTGATTTCGCTCATACCAGGTTTGTACCAGGGCAAGGGCCTGATGAGGGCGTGTTGAAAGGCTTTGACACGGTTCAGAGTCTGTTGGATGGAAGGCTGAAGGAAGTAGAGTCAGCGTGAGACGGCAATTCCCGTACAAATTTTACTTACTAGTGACAATACATGGATTTCAGCAGTCATAGAAAGTATTTCTTCGAAGCGGTACGAAAGTTGCAGCAATCGCTATGAATCAGAATCGAAGGGGTTGCTGTAGCTTTTTACTGCTTATGGGCTTAATGCTTGCTGCAAGCCGCTTAAGAAGTCTGATGCATTCGATATTGTAAAATTGTTACTAAATTTCGAAACTATCAAAAAAAGTCTATGAGAGGCACGGTCCGTAGCGCGAACTGACGACTTGCCCTGATCTCCTGCGACTAACTCGGCTAGTCCTGCTGGTTGCGGAATTGCTTCCCTAGCCAATCAAGGACTGATTATTCCAAGCCCAGACCACCCTTTACAGAGCGAGAAACTGTGGACACCAAGTTTTCTGGAGGGGACAGTCTTGAACCAGCGCACAAGCGGATTGCTTCGCTGATATAAACCACTCACATCCCGAGTTTTAGGGCCGTTACAGCCACTGCACCATTGTACCATTGCATTATTCTTACTGTCCTTAAAATCATTCCAGTCCATTGGCCTCATCTGCCCAATTCCAAGACTCGCTCCCTTACGGTGAACGACCATGACCACGACGCTGGAACCAGCACTCACCCTTCGGCAAGCTATCAAGGCGAAACAGAACATCACCTACACGAACAATGATGGACCTTGTTTATCCTTATCATCTGCAACACACCTGGTCATTCCCCCGCATACCTTTGCAAAGTCGGCGCCTACTCGTTTTCGCAAGGTCGACGTGACCACTGCGACAGGCCCTCAGGACTTTTACACTCTCGACGCACTCTATCTTGCATGGTCTCTCCAACATGCGTCTGCCGCCGACTACACGAGACAGGCACGAGAGAACGGGCTAAACATCGGTTTCGTGAGCGTTGCCGCAAGGAAGAAGGTGGTAGATTGGCTGGAGGGCAAGGGCTTTGAGTCGGACATGATTGTGCCTGCTGCAGGTGGGTTCTTGGTATTTAACTTCCCCCACAGACTATCAACTTTTCTGTCGTATAGGCGAAACGACTACGCCGCCAGGCACACCACCACCACGCTCGAGTAAACTAGCTCCTTCGTCGTCGCCGGGCAAACCAAAGACGCTAGATACACCTTCATCGTCAAACAAGCGACGTTATGTTGCTGATCCGCACGACCTAGAAGTTGTCAAGAAAATCAAGCAGAACGAGATTGAACTTCGAGACCGAAGTTCTGTCCTGCGGGGGACAAAACCTAACGTACGGTGCTGCACATAATCTCTCTCTTGACACTTCCCCGATCCTCTGCAGAACTTCTCTTCCATAAAGACGGCCTATGCGGAGAAACTGAAGAAAATGCGGGAAGCCAGCAAGCCTGGCGCACCAGTGTCTACTCCAGCACCGACACCGGATCTTAAAATGCAAGCACGAAAAGCTCGTACGTGATCTTTATATTGCCTATTGTACTGAATCCATATTTTTGACCCTAGGAAACAACTTCCCGATTATTATGATATCCTCTTCGCCTACAGCACTCGTCACAATGCACAACGTCAAGCGCTTCTTGCAAGAATCTGTGTACGTATCCTTGCCATGCTCCGACTCCGAAACCCATCATTCTTCTCAGCTTTGAGACCTCTCAAGCCGCTCGCGAGCGCGCCAAGGCTGAAGGAAATACGAAACCTGACGATCTCATTCCCATTTACCGCAAGTTGACTCACATCGACCCCAGTGGAAGGGAGACGTCGACACACGCTAGGTATCTTCGTTTTTTTTACGGCATTAGCAGTTGCTTATATCGAGATGCAGATATCTGGTAGTCGATTCCGTTGAAGCGCTATCGAAATTCGGGGCCGACGCGTGGGACCGCGTCGTATGCGTCATGACTACAGGTCAAGCCTGGCAATTCAAGCCCTATCGATGGAATGAACCGACAGTTCTCTTCCACCATGGTGCGTTTCGTGTTCTCAGCTGGCTTTTGGATCCACTGAGGCTTATGATAACAGTCAAGGGCTTTTACGTGTCATGGGCTAATGATCCGCCAAATAACAGGATCAAGGATTGGAACGTGACTGAGTTGAAGGTCAGCCTTGTTTGCCGCGAAGACTATCGTAAGGTACTTATCACCTCGGCAGATTGATCAGAATCGGCGGCACATTGACAAATCTGTGGTTGCGCACTTTTGGAAAATCCTGGATACATGGACAATGGCAAACAAGCCTTGGCTGATGAAAGGGTAGTATAATCTTATGTCACTTCCATCTCTCGACGTTCCCGTATCTTTGTTGTATTTGACATTGACGTCCGAACTTGTGTAATGAACGCTCATATAGCCGCCATGCTTAACCATTGCACGATTGTAAGAAAGTGTTTGCTCACTATTCCTACCAGGGCGTATAACTCCTAACGACACCATCATCGGCTGCAGTCCAGATGTCCCCAGTATCGGTGACGCGAATGTGTCTCACTGCGTCGCAATCTGTACCGACTATTTCCGCCTCAACGCGAACCGCATCTCCTTGCAGAGAAGCAACGTACGGCAGCCCGTCTTCCGCCCCCATGACCACATCTGTCGGAGAAAGAAAAGCCAGATCCTCAACTGCAGCTTCGTTTCTGGCAAACTGGACCACGGGTCCTTGAACGAGAGAGCGGATATCATAAATGCATACCATCCCTCTAGAGGATCCCGTTGCCAATTGGGTGTTACTAACAGCAATGGAGAGAAGAGAGCTAGCAGAAGAGGAAGAACGGGAAATTGAAGATGATCCGGGTGAGGCCCGCAAGTCAATCGAGGAGAACGATCCGTCTTGTAGTGCAGCATATATCGGCTCGGAAGAATCTAATGCGAGATACGAGGGCGTGATTTTGTTGATACCACTCGCAGTCGGAAACATGGAGGTCTGTGTGCCGGAAGGGACGTCCCAGAGCCGAAGGGTGCCGTCGAGGGCGGCAGAGAGGATCGAGCGGCCGGGACCGATGATGGCGGTTGCCGTGACGCGCCGAGTGTGGGCGCGAAGGGTGCGGGCCGGGTCTGGGGATGATGTAATCGCATCGCTGTCGGCAGGAAGGATTTGGACGGAGAAGTCGGAAGATGCGCTGAGAAGGACGCGGGAAGATGGGAAGAATTGGAGTGAAGTAAGCGTCGATTTGTGACTTCGGTAGAAAGCTGTGGGGGTGTTGTGGGCCGGTGATGCCCTAAAAAGTTGGGCAGAGCCGTCGAGGAATCCACATGCAAACTGGGAGCGGTTGGGGGACAGTGCGAATGCGGTAATTCGATGTGGAAGCGTCGTGTAAGAATGGGTCGGAAGTAGAGCTTTCGTAGGGGAAACACCTAATTCGGGACATGATATTTTATATTTCTGGAATGCGAACTTTGATCAAAACGAAAAGAATATATGAGTTATATTATAATACGCACACGACCCCCACCTGCCAGCTCGACCCTAATGTTGCCTTCTTTGGTGTGAAACTGGACAAGATCGCGATCAATGTCATCCAGAACTACAGAAACTTTTCCATGCACTGAGGGGGACGCCTTTTTGTAGCAAGATATCCAGATGTCTTCCGAAGGAATGATACCGGAGTGGACGTCGCCAATCACTTCAGAGAAAGTGGGCTGGATAGTTGCAATCGGAAGTATAACAGACGATTTCGTAGCAGTAGACTCTGGCATCTTGATGAATAAAGTATTGCTGCAAGCAGATCGATGAGGTAAGTGTTCGAGGAGGTGATTGCCAAACATAGTGCATGTGCCTTATTCTAGATCGCTGAAATTCCACTTCATACATTTTCACCCATGTGCGGCTGCCGATTTGGTATCTACCCGGTCGCTCGACGTCCAGGAACGGGACGAAGATGAATACGAAGACCATTCGGAAGGCGCTGAAAACGACTCTGATGACTACTCAGAGGATGGCCGGAAGGCACCAAAATCTCACCAAGGTTTAAACGGGCTGTCTGTCGGCTCATCGAGACCCAGCTGCCAGCGTCCTACTTTGCCTAAAGCCGGTGCTCGGCATCCGGATTACGTGCTAAGCAAGGGTGGGGTTGCACAGATGAAAATCCGGAAGGACTTGCATATATCTCCAGGATATGGAAGGACAATTTTTGGCGTCCTTCAGTGGGCCTGAGAGAGCTGATCCAAAATGTGATGGTGCCTTGGCCGCTCTCGGGGCCAAGCCTGGTTGTGCGGCATGTACCCCGAAGGACATCGAAGCTCGTCCCATCTTTCCGTCGACCGGTGACTGGGTGACCTTTCCGCTGAAGCTTCATCAGGTTCCTCCAGGTCACCAGATTTCCATTGGAGTGTCTCAGATTTGAAGACTTCCTGTTTCATCGGCCTGCATTTGACGTATTGGAAACTGATCTCAGCGGAAGGCACAGGGTAGGCACCGTTCTACTTGATAAGCGATTACGACATCGCATCTTCGTATGTAGTTTCTTTCGTCTTCGCTCTGCAGGCGTTAAATCTTCCTTCTGTAGGTAAAAGGCGTGTTTGTAACAATTCGACCCGGTCGCACGGTCGGTCTGCACTATAGTATCGACATCTAGAAAGACGTAGAAATCAGCAGAGATCGTGTTGGGTTACGGGACAAAGATAAATGTTCTGATGCTGCGTTCAACATCGGGAGATCGCTTTTCGAATGCTCAGAGCGTTGCTCGGCAGCTCTACATTGACCTGTTGATCCAGCATCATCCCTGTATGGAGACTCGCTATGTAGCGAAGCAGCTCGAAAGGCAGACGCGCATCTCCTTTTCGACCAACTTCAAAAAGATAAGGGGGATGAAGTTTTTTTTTTTTTTACCGCACTAAGTATGCTGGAGAATCCGTTCGTATCATCGTCAAATACTATAACGGAGACACTCCTCAGCTCAAGTATACCGCACACCTGATAAAGGCTTTTTTGGGTTTGGATCCGGATATAAAACCTTCCAGGACTGTCTTCATTTTAAATCTGCTTCGGCTGATATAGACGTCGAGATTGCTGTGGATGACGGCAAGGTACTCCTTCACGACCTGACACTATCCTCTGTCTTCATCCATTGCAAACCTCAATTTACCATGTGTTATCGACACTTGCGCACAGCCGATTCTTTGGAAGGGATGGAACTCGATGACGACAATACCCACTTTGAAGAACAGAATGAGAAGGAATCGCTGGGGGACGAACAGGAGTCAGAAGCGAAACGTTTTTGGCCAGACGATCCCTCCGCTTCTGTTTGCGACTGCTCCTCACTCTACGTGCTTCATTTGATGACCCAGGAGCTTGAAAACGTATCCCCCATGCGTAAGACGGAGATGGAAATGGAGCGCCAGCTTTCTCTGCGATCTTTGCCGCGGAACCTTACTTTTGAGACGACCAAACCTAGTCATTACGCAGGAGACGATGCGCCGTTCAAGATGACGTTGTTTTGGTCAACTGATGATGATATATCTGGGTTCAGGGTCTTCATCTGCTCCGATGTCTATAAGGATGCGGAACCTCTTTTGATGAAATCTAAACCGTGCCATGAATTCGATTTGGAACTGGTGAGCAAGAATGAGAATAAAACACAGGCTACTGATGCGCCGATGATTCCTGCTGAATCGCGCGCTGACGGTTCTGGTATGGTTTTTTTAGTAGGCCCTCAACTTACGTTGACGATCAAGAGTAGAACACGCGTTGGAATTCGACTTATTCTCAAACTCTGATAAAATCGTTTTCAACGATCATATTCCAAATGGCAAGAAGTACGTCGCTCAAGTGTGTTGGAACAAGGATCGCGCTTTGTATAGCTTACTCTTGTCGTTTGCCGTACCACCTTCCCCTTCCTCCTCGGCCTCTTTGAAGATCGAATCTCAAGCGCAAAAAGTGACTGTCGAATGGGGTACATCACTAGAGTCAGGAGCCGACTCATGGATAGTCGTTCTTAAATGGAAAGACCGTGAAATTCTTCAAAAAGTAGACGCCCCGAAAGTCGAAGCCTTGTTAGACGAAGAATTAGGCGATGATTAATTGCTGGTGGTCGAGGTGTATGCCAAGTCGTCTGCATGTGGCTTGACCAGCACCAATTTCGCATCAAAGGACATTCAACATGAACCTCTGCCCGCTCCGGTCCTAGTCACTTCTTCTAGCCATATCTCATCAGTTACAGCCGTGTCATCGTCATCGTCTCTGCTAGCGTCACACACATATCCGACATCTGTCGTCGAACAGACCCTGTCTAGGACGCTCAAGGAAACCTACTGTTCCAGAACATCCACACCCTGCCCCAATCAACCTTTGTCATCTGCCGATTCAACTGTATCGACGTCCGCTTCGACTTCAAGTAGAGACACTCCATCTCAGTCCAATCTTAGTACAAGTACAAGGATCCCTAGTCCAGGGCTAGAGTATGTCGACCGTTTCGATGGCTTTGGAAGTTGTGACAATGATGACGGCCCTGCAATTGTAGCGGTCAGGCCCGATCATCAGTTACGAGTTCCGCGAGTATATAAACGGCTTGCAAGCCTAGATCACCAAGCCAACTACGGATACGATGAAATGCCTGTCGATATCCAGGCCAATTTCATGACAGAACGTATTCAAGACAAGTTCGTCGCAAAGGCAGCCTGGACGGCAAATACTGTCTTCTTTCCTTCTGTACGCACTTCCCTGACCATGCTTTTAGGACTCTGATAACTTACCGACGTCGTACATCCCGGTCGTATCTACCTTCATTGATCACCAGAAAGTTGAAGTCGGCAATTACTACATGGTACAGTTGAAGAGCTGCGATGGTACCATCCATGAAGCGGTCATTTACGTTCACTCCGTCCACTATCCCCAAGATCCTCCTGACGAAGCGTCGAACGGCGCGGTGCTAGGCCTATCTCGGTACATCAAATGGATCCTTGTCCATCCTGACGCGCCCGATGACGGTCTCTTTCTTCTGTTTACAGGAGATGAGCTCAGGATCGGAATTCGCTGGGACTCAGAGACGTTCAGTGCAAGAGCGATTGTCAAAGTCCACGAATATGTGCAGGTCACCCATAAACTGGAGTCAGCCACTACTGGTGCCACTCGCCGTTTTATTTGTAACTGGGCTCTTCAGCACACCCGTGTGTGCAAACCAGGAACTATAGAGAGTTTCGTCGCAGTTCCCGAGGACCTTGGTACTCGAAAACTTGGGCTAAAGAAATTCACCCCGCACAGAATAGATTCTCTAAATTTCGGCGACCTGTTTTGTGGAGTCGGAGGCGCGTTTTGCGGTTTCAAAGATGCTGGCTTTACTTCTCAGTTTGGCGCCGAAGCAAGCGACGCAGCAGGAGAAGCTTTTCGGGTATGTAGGTGTTGCCGATCTTCACTCACTTGCTGACCGTTCTTCAGAATAATTGCCTTACTGCTATCCTATATCCTTCGATACCTTCTTAGGTTACTCGTGGTCAAAGAATCCGTTCCAGAGCGCAGTGATATCTGTTTGTCCTCCGTCTGGTATATACGCAATGGACAAACATCCGGTTATACAAGTTATCAATACCTTCAAACCTGCCTATGTTGTACGTCGTTGCTATTCTTGTTATTCTCAGCGTCATCTGATTAAGTATGCTTCAGGTATACAACTACCCCGTGGTCCGTAGTCCATCTATACAATATTTGGGTCACACAGCTAACAGGACAGGACCAGCTGTCTACGGATAATATCGGCGATCTTAGGAAGCTTCAGTATCAAATATTGAAGCAAGGATACAGTTTCACTTATGGCGTGCTAAAGCTAAGGATTTTGGAGTCTCCATCGTGAGGAATAGACTGGTTCTTATTGCCGCGGCGCCGACTCAGCCTATGCCTGAGCTTCCGTCACCCACGCACAGTTCCAGCTATCATTTTGCACCAACGAAGACTCTTCAAGATGCTATCGGCGATCTTGATTGGAAGAACACAACGTGTCAAGCTACCGGATCAGGCCTCAAGAGCGTAGTTTCTCATCCGGTAGATGGTTTTCAGCCCGTTTCCCGACACTGCGCTGGCTGTGTCACTCCCGATTTCACAAAATGGGATGACTCACGTACTGTCGCAGATTGGAATGAGCCTCTACCTGGCAAGTTTTCTCTTGGGTGTTTCCTCTAGTTATGTGAGCTGATGGGACCCTAGCCTTGCTAACCGTGCCGTCGGAAAAGTGGAAGTGCCGGCAAACAAGTGAGTGGATGACACATTACTTAGGCCCGGAACGTTCCTGGCCAGAGCATCAGACAATCCACAACGTCCATTCAGAGATGGCACGAGCCCTCTCGTTCCTGGTGAGTACTTCTTATCACATTCCTGATTCATATCGACATTGATGTGTCGATAGGACTCGTGGGATTTCAGCGGGTCTCTGAAAGATCAGTACAACCAGTTAAGCGCGCTTGTTTGCAGCGGCCGTCTCTCCAGCTCATCCGGTCAATGTCGCAAACGCTCTGCCTCCCCTTTTAGCGAAAGCAATAGCAGAGGAGATTAAAACCGTCATAGTCAAGTCCAACCCACGTCTTGCAAACGCGTCCTAGATTGAAAAAAAAAAAGAATAGAAAAGAGGCATGTCGTCGGAGGCTTTTCTTCTGAGAATGGCGACCTAATTGTGTTTACAGAATAGATAACGTATTAATGGAATACAAGTCTTGACTTGAATGATACTGTGAAAGCCGTTTGGCTAATGAACTAAACCTGCCAGTGCCGAATCGGTATAGCAGGACGCTAGGATGATTCGAGACAAAGACGCATAATCTTAACTGCGCACGCCTAAGTGTTAATATTGAGCACAGCGGAGTTTTCTGCCGTTGTTCCGCTACTCGGGGTTATTTTTAGTCTCACACTGTGGATCGCATGGCCGAGCCCGGGCGGGTCGACGTCGATAGCTACTCCGATAATCTCGGACCTGTGGTTCTTGCGAAGTCGTGGGACCAAGGATATTGTTGCTCTCCTCAGTCTCCTCTGCTCAAAATTTCTTCGAGTTCTATGGTCTGTAGTTCCAAGCGCGGCCGCTTGGTTCTGAATGTTCAACGGTTCTTAGCCTTGGACTCAGGTATACGGTGCATTTAAGTCTCATAGTAGCTCATTCTCCAGGCCGTTCCACCGACAGCGGCGAGTGAATGTTTTAGCTCGGATGATGTCTGCGGCCGGTATATCCTCCATTGATCGACCTTCATTATCGGGTCTGCGTCGGTAACTCGTTGTTGTTCCCTGAAAAGGAGGCTTCCACGATGCCAGTCTTAAAGCCCGAGGATTTGATCTCACGCTTGCCAGCTCAGTCCTAAGATGTCGTCCACGGACCAATCGTCCTCAGTTCTGCAGATGCAAACGTTGCAGGGGAAATCAGTCACGTACGTCTTCCCCCCTTTGATACAAGTATACTGCATAACCCTTTGATTTGTCTTATAGTTATATCGTCTTTGGCCTTCTTGCTGCAATCCTTGTGGTCGGGCTATGCTTTACGTTATTTTGGATGAGCAGAATGCGCAGACGGAGAAGATTCCAGGCCGAGGATGGCATCCTTCCTCCGTTTGGGATCTTACCGTCGAAGGAAATGCCTCAATGCCACGAGATATGGTTAGGTACTCCATCATCAACATTCTCATGGAATGACATAAGAGTGAGTCACCCTGACCTTCCGGCTATATATAATGCTTAAATTCCTTCCTAGCCTTTATCTATCGAAAAACTGCCCTTACCCGTTTCCACTCCAATACCACCACCATCGCCGAAAGTTAGACGATTTTTCTTCAAGAAGGCAGAAATCCAGTCGCTATCCAGTGTTTCAAAGAGCACCGTGACGTCTTGCGACAGTCTCCCCTCCCACTTTTCTATCGACGAAAAGGAGACTATCCAAGAGGCCTTCCGAGTTTCGGTTCTCATAGCCATGCCATCCCCTTCTCCCTCTAATGCAGAAATGAATGTTGGTGTCACTTCGACTACCACATAGCACATGAACTCCTTTTACGCTCTTTTTCACGACAGTTCTACCGACCATTTTTGACACGTCCCCTGATACCCACCATTGATGATTATCGCTACCAGTTTATCACTACCAGAGTATGCGTAGTATCCCCTTTCATAATTCCAAGTAATGTACTTAGTATACCGCTATAAAAAGAATACTATATACACGGTAATAGGCGGTAATCTCGGGCAATAACGTACTACAAGTAATCAAATAAGTAAGTGGGACTAGGAGATGACCATCAGCTAGTGATACATCTTTGTTTGTGAGTGTCCCATTATCAATTTTTGGAAACATGGATAACAATTCTTTCGTAATTTCTTGAGGTTTGTCGAGACCCGCCTTGACATTTGCGAAGCTAACACGTGGCAATGCAGAAAAATACATACTTCTCGTTTCTTGCCCAATGCCTTCCACTCTTTGTTACCTCTCCACAACATGTTTCAGAGTTTTCTGTGTAGCGTCCAGATTTGACTAGCGCTCCCACCAGCTGCACATCGAAGCAATGCAAGACTCTACAGTACTGATTCGGAGTTACCTCGGTCTCAGTCTCCAGCCTCAAAAGCCATTCAAATAACTCTGTGTTGTGAACCCGGACACGTAAAATACTTTCAAAAACGTCTGCTTTCATCTCATTTTGACTTGAAGTCCATATATTCTCCGCAAAGCAAGGATGTTTGACTGTGCCAGCGATACCTTGTGATCCGGTCCCATTCGTGCCAAGGACGCACCGACATTTATTCTAGGCTGAAAGAAAGCTAAACTTGTTACTCAATCTATGAGCGGTTGCTGTCTCGGCCTTAGGGATTACGGTCAGGTGGCTGTGCAGGCTTTATATAGTTTATATAAGTCGACTGGTAGGTCTTCGGTTCTTCAGTTTCGCAACAAATCTAAAAGCTACATAGGAAACATGCAATTCCAAGTATCCCTTATTGTTGCCGCCATCCTCGCCATCCTCGGGTCTGCGTCTACGCTTCCAAGAGACTGTGAGGTCCTCGACGTCGATAACGAGCCTTACCTCCGCGAGGCTGGTCAGATCGTCTTTGAGCCGCTCGCCTTTGATGGGGAATCTGAATTCGGAATGGATGGAGACACTTCCATCCTCGAAGACTGGAAAACGTCCATCGTGAGGCAGCACAATGAGTATAGGGCTCAATACGGCGCCAAACCTCTTACATGGAGCGATGCCCTGTACCCGGGTGCTTCACAATGGGCTAGTCAGTGCAAGTTTCAACACAGGTAGGCATACCCCATGTCAGAAGCCTTATTCCCAAATTATACCCAGTGACGGGCAAGGAAAGTACGGGGAGAACCTGGTGAGTTTATAGGGCTGTCAGACTACTGAGTCGACACCCATCGTTCCCTATAGGCTGCCGGAACCGGGAACTCTTATGGGTTCTCCAGTGGTCTCAAGAGCTGGATGGATGAAGCCTGTAAGCTCATACAAGCTTTCCCCAGAATGGTCTGCTTATAAATGATCTTACATTCAGCAAAATATGACTGTACGCTTCCCTTGTAACTACTTAACATATCTCACCTTTGAGGACAGATAATCACCCTGGCTTTTCCAGTACTACTGGTCACTTCACTCAGGTATTACCTGTTCCTTCCGGCGGCGTCATCCAGATTTCTGATTCAAATACTATCACAGGTTGTTTGGAAGAGCAGCAAGCAAGTAGCCTGCGCTATAGCTAGTTGCAGAGGCGGAACCATCTTCCAGCAACCATCAAAATACGTCGTTTGCAGGTATTCACCAGCCGGGAATTTTGCTGGCCAGTTTCCGTAAGCCTTCGTTGTTGTCAGGTCTCTTCTCAAACACTCATCGATCAATTTGAATAGTGAGAATGTCGGCAAACACAGATAAGCTTCAGAATCGTGGGCTTCAATAGCCGGTGTAGATATACTAAATGACTGTCAATTCCGTTGTACTTTGTAACTCATCGTCGTTTACGCTTGAAAGGGGAGTACTTGATGATATCCAGTATATGATGTCAGAAAATGCTCCTGTGTTTTTTTTCTGTGGAGTGAATGTCTGAGCTGAAAATGTGGCAAGATATTATGCAAAGAGAGATCGGCTCAGTCCCGACACGAAACCTGAGACCTGAGCCTTGGACACTTCTACATATGACATGAATGCAGTAGGCTTGATACCAGCTAACCTGACACTGAAAAGGCTCATGCAATTCGCAGTTTTTCTTTTGGCATCATTAGAGCTGTCCTGACCACCAGAAATCTACCAGTATGTGTTCCTACATTGCCAATTTGACTGTCCATCATGACATTCATGTCATCCAGAGCAAGCTGTTCTGGCACACAAGTCTATACATACTAAATTCCCTAGAGATATCTCTGATCAATCTCAAGTCCACTGATTCCCTCCAGGATGGATGACAACAAAGGTCATCAGTACATATATTGATTATTGAACTGAAAAACAGCATTTTCAACTAGACTATATAGCATTTAAGAATTCCAAGACTACTTCAAAGTATCTGACTTTCCATAAGTACAAGCTCTGTGTCAAAAAGCAACTCATCTTACTTCTGAGGTTCCTCAAACTGTGCCAAATGCATGCTGTGTTGGAATTCTACCCATTTGATTTTGGGAATTCCATGGAACCAGGGTGTGCAGGCGACTGGATAAACTTTGTCAAGAGGAATGCTTAGCAAGAGCATTGGAGCCTTTATATTGTGTAGGATACCGATTATGCTCCAGTCTTTTTACTGGTCATATTGAAGTCCAAACTACTCCACCTGCATAGACGTCATCAGTTCACGAATCCTAGACTCCAACATACCACATACATGGTAGAATAGACCATTGGATTTTTCATTACCTCTCCAAAACTCTGCGTGAGCTCTATAGCTATCAGTTCATAGCACAGATGTGCTTCTTGTGGAATGTCATCATCGTCTCTTGGTACTCAAGTGAGCCTGTGGTCCCTTCCACCTCATGTTTTCACAGCATCTTGGCAAGATCACCTGGAATTGTTCCAAAGGGCATTGGTGCATTGTTCAAACAAGTCTGCTGAAGCCGGAGTGTTGGTGATGATGAGCCGCCTCAATCCGTTAGGCACCCATGCAGCCACATAATGTTCTGCCAGCATCTTCAGACTCCAATATCAATATCTTGATAGGTAGGGAAGTGCAGACTTGTGTATCTCCCCAGGAATGGCCTAACAGATCGAACCTGTCAGAAATACCTAAATATGTGAGGAGGATGTCCAATTCATCCCTGAACAACTCAGGCTTCCAGAATTCTTTGGAAACATCCTTTACATGGCTTGAGGTGCCATTACCAATCTGGTCATATAGCACAATGGGTATTCTAGACTGGAATTTAATGTAGAGCCTGCATGGACCTAGGAAAACACTTATCCAGCTTTTTCATAGATTATCTTGTGTGACTTTCCATGCCATTCAGTTTTAGTTGTTTGACATACAGAAAAACCATACTCACAGCATACTAGAGTCAAAAATCAGCTCTGCTATATAGTGCAACATATACACAAACACTAACAGTGAGACATCTCTGGCCCACCATATAAAGCAATGAGAGGCATCTTGTCTGAGGCCTTGAGGTTGCTGATGATCATGTACCAAGTCTGATATGCTGTTCTATTGATGACAAAGTCAACCATGCCAGTGGTCATAGGCATGATTGTTTCAGTGTTTGAGAGTATGAGGACTCAGTGTTTTTCAGAGTGAGAAACTGAGATGACTGTTTGTTAGATGTAGAGTTAGTATGACATGAATAAGGATTCTTACTATTTGATTTTTCTTCCTATTATATGATGCACTGCCCCACACATCTCAGCTTTTTCTATCAACCACTGAGATGTGAGTATCTATTTAAGCTAGAGAATAAGGACCAAGAAAAAGTCCATTATTATTCTTGCATCTGGAATTGCATTGGAAAAGAGAACTTACTCTGATAGACACTCAGCACTCAGAGATGATTGACCAATGAAAATAAGGATTATTTACCACAGAGAACTATGAGGCATGATGGATACTCTATGGTTCAGGATGAAAACTCAGATGAAAAAAGTTGAGTTTGATTATTGGTCTAGTGGTTGTTTCAGACTGCCTCCACAAAAATGTTGGTCATACTTGCACCTATTATGAATGTGGAGAGCCATCCAACTATGTGAGGACAGTGCTTATAAGGTGCTGACCTATGCATCAAGAGTTTGTTTCACTTTTTTTCTCATGGCCAGCACCATTTCACCCTGCCAAGATTGCTGCACTTTATGTGACATCTTTGACTTCCTTTCTTGATGCTGACTTCCCTCTAAATAGTGATAACATGGCAGTCATAGATATGCACAGTACTGGATGCTTTTGCAATACTCAGAGGAATGTTTTTATTTGTTATTTATCCTCTTTTCTTGTTTCTCAGAATTTAACTTTATCTCCTTCTTATGTTGAGTTGAAATTTAATCTTGCTGATCTTATTTCAAGAGTTTAAACTTGAAACAAATTTTCTTCTACAAGAGAGGATAATTCCATAGTTAGAACATGTTTAAGATTCTATTTCATCAGAGATCTGCATGAGCAGATCTAGGCTATGCAGGCATTCTCCACAGAAGATGCTGCTGTTATGATTTCATCATCATTCTATTTCTTTTCTATGATTAACCCCTATTTATGCTTAGTCAGAGTGTCTAATGAGTGCTTAGGACTGTGAGACCAAGCTTAGTCATCACAACTAGGCTGAGTTGGTCATTGTCTTTCAATGCAACAGTGTTGCCCAATGATGCACAATCAGCTTTTTATATACAGTAGCAACATCTAAGGACAATGGGCACAAAGGATACAACAACACACAATAGGTAGCCATATAATTAGTACAAGTGTATACAGTATTTAAGGGAGCTCACCCTTGCTGGTAAACTCCAGCTTTGAGCTAAAGTTTATTTTCACACCATTCTCTCTTGAGCCAATCCTTAAGGCTTTGATGCATTATAACTAGAATCCACAAATAGTAAACTCTGATGTTCCACTCAAAGTGCAAAGTGACATCAGTTTATCATGTGGTTATAGTCATGTGCAGCTTGGGTCTAACAATTAGCTCAAAGCTTCTCTTTTTCTTTCCTCATGCACTATAGTGTGGAGGAGACTAAATGCCCTCTATCAACACATCAGACCTGAACTTTGACTGAGAGTTCTTTGAACTTCTTGCATCAATTGTTGGAATCCTATTGGGATTATTGATGATCATCTAGCTGTGCTGGAGATGCCATTCAATTACCATCTAGACTATCAGACACTATAATGAGTTTCAACACATTCAATATATTCTACACAATGTAACCTCAGACCTTTCTCTATATGACATCTCTGAATCCTGATGAATATTCTACCAGCCTCCAACAAGTCTCTTACCCAAAGCTGAGCTTAGCTGCCCATATTAAGAGGATGTTCAAGAAGAAGAAAGACATTAATACCCTTTCAGAAGAGCTAGCTGAGACTGTGACCCTTGCATTGCAGGATTCAGGAATCTTTGGATCTCAACTCCCATTTCTGACTAAGAAGAAAACATCCAGGAGAATAGCTGATAACTCTCTCCCAACTCTTTCAGCATCTCACACACTCATGAGATTGCTGACCATGCCTAAGATTTCCTTGATGCCACTCAGATGGCTTTAGGATCCCACAGCATAACATCTTGAAGCCAGTCTTAGAGTGCCTCAAGCCTAGCCCACAACTCTATTAGGACAAGTGATGGGATGGGGCAGACCCCCTCAGATCAACTCAATGATGAGCAACAATTCAGAAAAAATAGAAACAAAATCATTCACTGGCTATTCTCCATTTAGGACTTTAATGTTCCATTCAACTATGACAAAGCTCTCCAGCAGGAGGAACAAAGACAGTGAAATGCTCTACAGCCAGTTTATAGTGAGCTTAAGAAGTGCATCATCAATAGAAGGAGGCAGGCAGTCAAGGCCACTGAGTATGATCAGCAGCATTAGAAGCAGCAGCAGAACATTGAGAGGGTCTGACTGGAGAGGGCTGACATCTCCAACTGGTACAGACTCCAGCCCAAGATCACATCCATACTTGTGCCAGTATATGCTGATCGATCTCTCTCGACCCCAGTCTTTAGAGAGCCCAGTATCACAGATTCCAACCCCTGAGCTCCAGCACACTGGTGAGACATGAAAATCCTTACAGCTGATGAGGCCCAAGCAAAATATGATGGAATCTCTCCTCCTGCTCAGAACAATATCCCAGAACCCTCCTGATGCCCTTTAACTCTTCAGTATTCCCTTCTCCAATAAACTTCTAGTGCTGACACAGCATTCAGAGACAACAAGTTTGTCCTTGGACACTACAGGCTATAAGCATCTAGTAATGCCCACATCTCCACTCATGCTCTCTGAGGGTTTCTCAGAAGCTGAGTGGTCAGGCAGCTTCTTAATAATAGATACTGACAGAACATCCACCTCTATCATGAGTGAGTAGAGGCAGCATGAGCATGAGAAGGAAACCAGTATGACTCTGATATCAGGAGTCAGCCTGCCACTACCTACTTCAACACATCAGACTTTTCAGGCCCCACCACTAGGCTCAGCACCCAGCCAGAGCAGCAGATCAACAAAGATGGTACAACTACTAAGGGATGAGAGGACTTTCTATGACCCATCTGCTGTTTTCCCCCTAGAGAAAGAGGTAGAGATGAATGAGCTCAAAGAAGATGAAGAAACTGAAGACAGCAAACTGCCACATGCTGATGGGAAGCTCACTTATAGTCTGATGGAAGATACAGATAAAGAAGCACTAAAGGAGGAAATCTAGAGAGCAAGGACCCAGGAGTATTAAGAGCTATATGAGAAGGAGATAAAATTTTTATGGTGTGATGCCAACTGGTTGGCATTGTACATAGGACAAATGTATCTTCATTCTGAATCTAATAAATAAGCAGAAGTATTGAGATATATGGTGATAGACTATGCTGCCTAGCAATACAACAGAAACTATCCTGAGAACCTGATCAGCAGACCTTCAGAATATCAGCTGCCACTGTCAATTTGACTAATACCATAGTCACTCCTGGTCACCCTGAAATAAGCTGAGTACATGGCTCTATCAATTTAAAGTACATTTTTATACTCCACCCCCTTCTTTCAATCTATGGCAACTTGGCTATCTCAAACTCAACCTTAGCTGATCAGACCACCAAGCTTCTATCAAAACCCCTGGATCAGCAAGAAAAGCCAAATCCTAGAAGCCCAGCCTCTATCTGACAAAGCCACCAGAAGTGAGATAGAGAAGAAAACAGTCAAGAATGACTCTGAAGCTGTCTGACTGAGATTCATAGTATGAGATGGCATCATCATCCAAAAAGAAACAGCACTGCAGAAAAGTCCCATCACAGATGATAACTCTCTTCATTCATTCTCTGGACCTCTATGAGAATGAAATCACCCTCCTTTCTCTGAATAGCCCAACTCAATAGGCATGCTACTTGACAATGCAGCCATCCTATAATGCAAACCAGACTTACTTCACAAATCCCACTCCTTTAAAGAGGTATCTGATGATATTGACCAGTTTTTGGTTGACTGCAAACAGTACTTTGAAGTTTATATTGGATACCTTGGCACTAATATGAATAAGATCATTTTCACAGCCTTGTACCTAGAAGAGAAGGTGAAGACTTGGTGGATTCTTATCTCTCTGAGCTTCCAATCCTCAATCCAGAGACACTACCAATATCTCTTATAGCTGGTTTTCAAACAAATGCTTCATGACAAATTCATCAACCTAGTAGTACAAGAAGTTTATAAACAAAAAATCAAAGATTACAAAATAGGTGATAAGGCAGCCATGGATTACTTTGATGAGCTAGAGTGGCTCATGAAGCTCATCAGAATCTGAGAAGACACAGCCAATGATGGATGAATGATTGAGATCCTCAAGAGAGGCATCCTCTCCTCATATGTCATGATAATCTCTGCCATTGGCATCAAAGTACTGATGCCAGTTGGATATGATAAATGGAAGGAAAGGATTATTGAGATGTACAAGGAGTGACAAAGGCAGAAAGCAGAACAATCAATGCTGCAAGATTACTCAAAGAAGCTGACCCTGCCAACTCCAAACAACTCCAAATCATCAGGGACAACTGCTGGAAAATCATAGAGAATCTCAATGGCCCTAATCTATAGTGCACAAAAGACTGAAACTGAAACAATATATACAGGAGCAGAAAAGCCCATAGATATAGACCAGATGAAGAAAGAAGGGAAGTGCTTCAACTGCAGGCAGAAGGGCCATATGGCCAAGGACTGCCCAAAGAAGAAGCAGATCCATGAGGA